TATAAGTTAAGGGAGGGGTTGGATAGATGAACAGTGAAACCAGACTTTCAGTATAAAGCAGAATTTGATGCGTTCTGTTGTAGAAATTCAAGCAGCATTGCATGGAGGACAGTAGGGTGGCTAAGACCTCAGTAACAGAGAACTTGCATTAAGCCGAGTAGGATGCCGTTGGTGAGCAGGATGATGGACGTGTTTTGAAAAAAATAGAAATGCTTGCCATGCTCAGGCAGTGGTGAACACCAGGTCAATGTTGGAACACAGGAAAGAGAGACCGGGGTGATAGCATACCCCCACATGGAGCCCTGTGCTTGGAATTGGGGTTAAATCCATCAATCCTGGGTAGCAATTAAATGTATTTAATGAGGATGTGATATAATTCATTGCATATTTTAGGGAGATGTTTTCTGACAAGCACAGTGACAGCCTAGATGATGTGACTCACTAAAGGGGAATAACTGGGCAGTTTTGTAATGGCCCAAGTGAAAGATTTTAAGATTCCAAATTAGGATTGTTGTTTGGAGAAATCTAAAAGAAGGGATTGATAAAATAGAGATATTGGGTGGGTTCTTTACCAAATGGGAGATGATGGAGCTATAATGAGTTATTAAACATATGTTTTAGGGTGCCTGTACAATGCACTTTGTGTTCGTGGCCTGTGTAGGATATGAAGAGTCCAACACGATTGGGTATATACTTTGTTACCACACACAGTTCTGGCATATAGTGAGTTCTGGGAGTCACATATGGTCTTATCTCTTTCCCTGTCTCTTCTGGCCCCTTAGGAGCTAGACTCAGGTCAGGGCTCTGTGCTCCTCACTGTTTGTGCTCATTTGCAATAATGATGATAATAATCCTATGTAATAAAAGGCCAGCCACCATAAGCATAACGACTCGAACGACCAGAGACCAGAACCACCAGGGCCACTCGCGGGCTGGCCCCGCCCCCAAGCAAATGGTTAGGGGTGATCAGGTAGGCAGACCAGCGGTTAAGGGTGATCAGGTAGATAGGCAAGTGGTTAGGGGCAATCAGGTAGACAGGCCAGCAGTTAGTGGAGATCAGGTAGGCAGATGGCCCCTCGCCGGGCTGGCCCAGCCCCCAAGCAAAGAAAGAGGTAGGCCCAGGCCAGCCAAGCCATCACACCCCATGCCTGTTGCCTGCAGAGGGAGGCCACTGGTAGCGGCGGGTGGGGGGGTGCGGGGGGTTGAGGAGGGGCAGACCACAGATGGCAAGCAGTGGCAGCAGTGGGAGTGGGGCCAGCTGCCTGCAGTCTGGGGAAGGAAAGCCCCATAGGCCATGATCTCAGGCTAGGCCTAGGGACCCTACCCGAGGGGTCCCAGATTGTGAGAGGGTGCCGGCTGGGTTGAGGGACCCCCGCCCCCCGAGTGCACGAATTTTCATGCACTGGGCATCTAGTAATAATAATAATAATAATAATAATGATGATGATGATGTAAATATTTACTGTGGTGTCATGACACTTATTTTGAAAATTATTTAGGAACCCAGGCAGTATAGGTGAATTTTGTCTGGTGAGTAATGAATCAAGATTTTGTTGTTGTTTAGATGGATCACAAGATGTTTACAAAGTTATTTCTAGTGAAATAGATATAGCATCCTGAGTTCTACTTTGCCCCAAATAGAGTACAAATATTTGTTTTTGAGTGTGCTTTTTCATATAATGTTTATTGATTTACTTACCATGTTGTAGGATCATTGAATGTTTATGTTTATTCCTGGCCAGAGGTTTTCACTCTGGAGTTTAGTACTTACCTCAGTCATTGACAAAGGTTATGTGCATGCCTGGTGTGTGTGTGTGTGTGTGTGTGTGTGTGTGTGTGTGTGTGTTCCTGCACCTACATAGACACGTGTCAATTTAAGAATACCATTTGGTAATTCTACACTTGCAACATTTTTCATTGCTGAGTGTACTTTTTCATAACAGAAGGATGGTAGTTTTTCTCTAACAGCATGGGTTTTCCTCTACCTATTAACATTATTATAATGTGCATAGACTCACAGATCCAATGTCTGATTGTAGCTGATCATCCATCACATATCTATCCTAACACTTCAGTGTTGGTCATCACCTTTAACTGTACGTGTCTGTACAGTTGCAAGGTCACTGAGCTTAGACTCAAAGCCCTTTTCTACTTGTGAAGTTTGGCAGTGATTATAAGCCTAGGATGGTGGTCCTTGCTGGGGGGAAAGTGCCAGTGATGGAGAGGATGGTAAAAAGTTCAAGGGCCCCTGAAACAGATGTGTGTGTGTGTGTGCCCCTGAGTGTGTGTGTGTGGTGGGGGTTAGAGGAGAAAGAATCTAATCCTCGCATAATTGGAGATGCAATGAGAACAGCAGTGGTTTTGACGGGGATTAGTTAAATGAATCATAAGGGCTGGTTCTATAAATGGGAGTCCCTAATAAGATTTAGAGATACAGCAGGCCTGTGACTGAAGGAGTGGCCTGTGTATTACATATGTATTTCTGTGGTCGTCAACTCTTCCTTAACATTTCCCACCACAGTCAGCCGCAGCGTGTAGACACTCCTAACCCAGAGGCTCAGGTGAGGGTGAGGAATGGTTTGGAGGGTGACTGTGACAAGTATCTACAGGGGGAGTACTTGAGGTGTCAGCAGCTTGAAAACAACTTATTTTCATTCATCATCTGCCTTTGTCTCAGGACTTGGACTTTTTGGTATGTGTTGTCGAGGGTGTAAAGCAGTGATGGCGAACCTATGACATGCGTGTCAGAGGTGACACACGAACTCATTTTTTTTTGGTTGATTTTTCTTTGTTAAATGGTATTTAAATATATAAAATAAATATCAAAAATATAAGTCTTTGTTTTACTATGGTTGCAAATATCAAAAAATTTCTATATGTGACACGGCACCAGAGTTAAGTTAGGGTTTTTCAAAATGCTGACACGCCAAGCTCAAAAGGTTCGCCGTCACTGGTGTAGAGGTTAGTGCTGTCATATAATGCCAAGAAAGGAGCCTTCTGGTGAGTCATAAAGCCTGTGGATGGAAACCACCTGAAGCACTGAGATTTTTTTAAAATTTGGGGAGCTATCAGGTGGGGGCAGATGGCATGTACCAGTCTCTCAGTGGGAGGGTCCCACAGGAGGGGGTGGCGATGGGCTTCCACCAGCTTGCAGGGATTTGTAATCCTGGTGCAGTCACAGAGAGTGGCCGCAGGAACTCGGGCAAAATCCTTAGCCTTTGTCTACCCCGGTTTCCTAATCTGTTAGTAGGGATGATGGAGTCATAATGTGAACACAGAATGAGTTATTGCACAGAGAACATTAAGAACAGTTTTTGTGCACATGGAGCACACACTATACTATTTCTCAACTTTCTTCATCTTAAATTAGAGGGACATACATATGGAGTAGTAACCCTGAGAATGATGGAAGAAAGTGAGGTAATTCACTGTATTTCAGGACTACAACTTCTCCACATGCTGGATAAACATGCAGAACAGTGATCCACCTGATGCTTCCACGTTGAACAAATCTAAATTATAACTGGTGCCAGAAATCACTTTTCGTACTTTTTTAGTCCTGACTAAAAGCTACAGAAACTAAGGCATAAATCAGGTATTTGAATATTCCGAAGCAGAGTATAAACACAGCTGTTCTGGCACAGTGGAGGGATCACTTAACAGAAATCCGGGGTGCAAGCCAGCGCTCTCCCCAACCGCCCCCACAGAAGGAACATATGCCCTGCACGCACCTTCCGAAGCAGTTTGCCATATTTTATATTTTTAGCACCTCGTCTTTTAAAGACTGCAGACACAGTTCTGTAGGACAGGGGGAAGCTGTGTTATTTGGTAAATCGGGTTTTTGCATTCATGTTTATCCAAGTCCAGAATGATGGCCATTCTAGAGAATGAACGATTGTTGAAATGGCAGGTTGAGTCCTGGATTTCCCAGGTGATGAAGTTCAGAAAAAATGTGTAATTGTTCCTGAGTTTCCTAAGGTTCCTCTGCTCAACATAATGTTCTGACGTGCAGAAGGGACAGTCCCAGATAGAAAATGCAAATCAGCCGCACTACCCATGCTCCTTGATGCCAGGGTTAATCATGCAAATCGGAATGCAGTTCTTGGTATTTGGAGAAAGGGCTTAGTTGAAGTCTCAGGCACGTATTAATTTAAAATTCCTACTTCAGAGAGCAGTGCTTTTTTTTTCAGCTTCAAATTTTGAAGTATAGAACAGGATCTGGGGGCTGATTTAGTGATGGACATATATCCATATTTGACAGTCATGAAAAAGAGAATGGAGTGGGAGGGAGGGGCAGCCTCAAAGAATGCTGGTATTTATAAGTATAATACATACTCTATTAGATCGAGATTTATAAATGTTCTATAGCAAGTCCCTTTGCTTGGAACAAGACCAAATCAACCCATTGTACGTGTTTACTGGATATCTGCTCAGTTCGAAGGAGATGTCTACTAGGAAATCAGGCAAGGACAGACCCATTAAATAACAAAACAAAAACACAAGTTCCGGCCTATCCGGTTTGGCTCAATGGATAGAGTGTTGGCTTGCAGACTGAAGGGTCCCAGGTTCGATTCTGGTCAAGGGCATATGCCTGGGTTGCAGGCTCGATCCCTAGTACGGGACGTGCAGGAGGGAGCCAATCAATGATTCTCTCTCATCATTGATGTTTCAATCTCTCCCTCTCCCTTCCTCTCTCTGAAATCAATAAAAATATATTTAAAACAACAACAACAAAAAACACCACGAGTTCCTAACTTTGGAGAGACATAAAATACCTTTGGAGATGAGGCTGTTTACAGGAAGAAATGAAATTGTCTTGCTCACTAGTCAAGTGGACATGCTCCAATAGCCTGCCCGCTGTGCGCAGTGAGCGCCAGCTCATCTTTCCAAGAACAAAAAAATGGTGTGTGCTGCTGCCCAACATAAGAATTATTTTTACATATCTCCATATTGCTGACTCCCTTGTAAGTTAATCTCATCTCACATGAATTTTTCACCAGCTTCACTCTGATGTTGATAAAGGAGATGGTTCCATCAAATACATCTTGTCAGGCGAAGGGGCAAGTTCCATTTTCATTATTGATGAGAACACGGGGGATATTCATGCCACCAAGAGGCTGGATCGCGAGGAGCAGGCCTACTACACGCTCCGAGCCCAAGCGCTGGACAGGCTCACCAACAAGCCGGTGGAGCCCGAGTCTGAGTTCGTCATCAAGATTCAGGACATCAATGATAATGAGCCCAAATTCTTGGATGGCCCATACACTGCCGGGATCCCCGAAATGTCTCCTGTGGGTAAGTAAACAATGCACTTGTTTTGCAGGGTCTGATTTTAGGGGCTTTGGCTTTAAAATTAAATCATCATATGTCCTGGAAAAAAAATCGCGTTTGCATAACATAACAATTAGGGTGAGGGGAGTGTTGGAGATGTGTTAGTAACCAGGACCTGAATACTTATTATTCAACATGTTTATTTTATGACAAATTAGCAAGTTTTTCCTTTTACACAGCTACCTCAGTATTCTCAGGAAATTGCTTAGTTTTTACATTCACTTTCAATTTAAAAGTAATAATTAAAATGATGCTTAAGAAGTTAAAAAGGAAAATCTTTGCAGACACAGCAGTGGGACGATCTTTTATTTTTCTCTCTCCTGATAGTAGGATAATGAACTATTGTAAGCATCTCTGTGTGGTCACGGTATTAGGTAGGTTGTCAGTGGCTAGTCAGACTGTCATTTAGATCTGGTGGTCTCTTCTGTAGACTATTCTTGAATGACAAAGGTCCATCCACATGCCACCAGTAATCTTTTTCTAATTTCTCCAGAAACTTAAGTGCATGGAATTTTATATTGAATTTATAATAATGGGAAAGTGATCCTCAGTTTGAGATATATAAAAGAATGATGAAGGTTGTTTTGTTCCAAGACCCTTTGACATTGCCCCATTTCTGCAAAAATAGAAAGCAAAGTACTTCCAGTATATACTTTATATCAAATAATATTAAACTCTATTTTAAATTCAATATATTCAGGTACCTTTGGAATAGTTTCAGCCAGTATTTAGTTTAAATATGGATGACCTTACAAAACAATAAAACATTATGGGGTTGGAATGGAGATAGTAGCTTTATATGTTTATTTCCTATTATTTTTATTATCAAAAGAGGATGCTTATTTAAAATAATAATTGAACTTGTATTTTAACACAGGAAAATTTTACCCTGAGTGATTTTGCTTTCAATAAAGGTCATTCCATTCATCCAGGATTCAATAAACGCATTTACTATGCTGGGAAGTGCAATTTCAAAGATGTGTATCGTGTGTGCCCTTTAGGAGAAATCAGAATTCAGTGACCCGAGATTTCTGTTCTTATCGGATGGGAGAGGGAAATTTGGGGCACATGGCTCTTGATTCCAAAGAAATCCAAATTGAGGATGAGCCAGAGGAATCGATGCTTGTGGGCAGGAAAAATCCGAACCACAGTGGTGGTATTATCACTCCAGTAGCTTCCGTGTACATATGGCTTTGACCAAAGAAGCTTTTCCACACTTTCCCTGGAGAGCTTGCCTCTTCAGAGTGCTTCATGCTGTTGTTGTTTAACCACAATAACAAAAACAACAGTGATGACAGCAGCGACAAGATTTTGGAGGTTTTAGAGAAAAAGAAGGCACCTTATCCTCCTCAGGATAGTAATGTTTAGCAAAACAGGAATTTCAAGGAGTGTTAGAGCAATTCAGTTCAACCCCATCATTCCCGTGGGCATGGTGGGTGCTCTTCATTGGCTTGCTAAGGTTTTCCTCTCCCACCTGGAACAGAAGGGGAACTTTGTTTCAGAGGCTAACGGATGCCCTGTGGCTTTGGTTTCAGTGGTGCCACTCTGGTGCCAAACAGCATGATTTTTTGCACATCTTAATTTATTTTAGTTTTTTTGATTGATTCCAACAAGTTCAGAACTTCTTAGAAAATGATTTTCTAATGCCTTCAGGATTTAATTGACACTAATTGTGATCATTGGGTTAATATCAACATTTGAAATAAGAATAAGGAAGTTCTATGTAAAATAGGTTATATGGATTTTTAGTCATAGTTTATCAGAGTATTTTATTCTAACTGAGTAGCTCTGATAACCACTAAGTAGTATGGTGTATATATATAACACAAGCTTTCAGTGTTTAATATTGAGGGCTATTTTTTTTTCATTACATGCTGACTAATTGTAAGATTTAAAATACTTGCTAGCCCTTAGGATTGTTTATTCGTTGCCAGAAGAGCATAAGAAAAGCATGGAAAATTTAAAGTTATTTGAGAATATGTCTGTGTATACAGTAACAAACACTTTAGAAGAATATATATAGTACACAACCAAATTTCCTGAAGTATACTTTTCATCATTTTGTTTGTTTAAAGTTGTTTTCTTTTCTAATGAAGTAGAAAATCAATACTAATATCATCAGAATGAATAGTTCTGTAAGATGGTGCATTATAGAGAAAGTCAAAAAGTTTGCCCACCCCTGGTCTAACATTTTAAAATAAAATTTAATTCTTAAAACGGTTTTCAAATATACATTTTTTACTATTTGGTCTTAGCAGGCATTCACAGGGCACAATCACCCAAGATCATAAAAGAAAAAAGAAAGCAAGCAAAACAAATCATCAGCATAAAAAAAGGACAGCACCATCTATTTTACTTCGTAATTTCAACCTAATTTTAAAGAAAATGGAATTGCTAAAGACAATCATAGTGTGAAGAAAAGAATAGATTTATTACAAAATGGACATTAATGACTTATTTAAGGCATTTAGAAAGGGGAATCTATGTATGAATACATCTAAAATAAATGTTAGATGAAAAATGCCATATTTTCAAGAAATTATTAGAGCCAAACTTGAACCTTAGAAAAACACATTAAAAAGATGATCTGTTCCATCCCCATCAGATAGAGCATAATTGATAAAATAACAAGTGCTTAATATAGAAACTAAGAAAACATATCTAATGTTTTTAAGATTACATCCCAAATGGAAATAAAAAGAACAGAGCACACTAAATGCTTTCCCTAGGGAATAGGTAGATATGTGATAAAATGAAGAAGCAATATGACATCTGTCTTATGAATTGTAGAAAAACAACTAATAAAACAGTTATTAAAATTGTCATGTTTTTCCTCCTTTGGGGGTTTGGTTGAAATTTTCATTTCATGCTTTTGCTTTAAATCAATTAGTAGAAACAAATAAAAAATAAATAAAACTATTACTAAAGAGATAGAAGAGCCAACTAATACCCGATTAAATATTAATCCAATATTCTTTTATAGTGGAATTTATTGGAGTGGCATAGAACCACACAGGTTTCAAGTGTACAACTCAGCAAAACATCATCTGCACACTGCATACTATATCGCCCAGAGCAAAGTCTGTTTCCATCCTCATTCTCCCGCCTTTGTCCACCTCCTCCTAACCACCCCCCCTTACCCTCTGGCTATCACCACACTGTTGTCTGTGTCTATGTGTTATAGAATATGTATGTGGGTTTTTTTCTGCTTAATTCTTTCACCTTCTTTCATCCAGTCCCCAGCCTCCCTCCTCTCTGACAGCTGTCAGTCTGTTCAATGTGCCCATCCATGCTTCTGTTTCTATTTTGTTTGTTAGTTTATTTTGTTCATTAGATTCCACATGTGAGGGAGATCACATGTTATTTGTCTTTCCCTGACTGGCATATTTCATTGGACCTGGAGATTAAAATGATAGTGAGATAATCCAATATTCTTTATTCAGTTAATGGAGTTTCTGTTTCTGTCTGGGCTTGCTCAGCTGCAGCAGTGAGATCCCCTTCATGATTTCAGTGTTCAGATGCTCTTGTTTGTCAGGCTGCCTCCTGGACAGTGATTGAGACTTAGAGAGATTGCTGCTGCTAAAAACTTGTTACCTGGCCCTGATGGATGAGATGCCAAAAATTTGAGTCCCATCCAATTCTGAGTATATCCCAGTCTAATAGGCATCATCAATCTTATACTTTTGCCAACCTATTTTCATGCCCCTTAAATATTTCTGAGGGCTTAATGAGTATTTATCATACTTCTATCAAATTTTAATGTGCCTTGAAACAAAAATGCAAAATTAAAAACAAATCTAGTGCAGAATCATCAGACTTTTGTGAGTGTTTACATTTTGTGGCATCGGAAGTTTTTAATTCATTGGTTTTTGGGTTGGCATGTAGGGACCTCAGTGGTACAAGTGACAGCAACCGATGCTGATGATCCTACATATGGCAACAGCGCCCGCGTGGTCTACAGTATTCTGCAAGGACAGCCCTATTTCTCGGTGGAACCCAAGACAGGTAAAACTTGAAATGCAACACTCCTCAGAAAGTCAACATGTCTACCTTGGCATAGAATTAATATTAGTGATTTTTACGCCATATAGTTGGCACTGATACCATGTTATGGTGCTTTTTTTCAATATGCATATTATGGTAATAAGTAGCATATTATTTATAAAGTCAATAGCACCTATTAAGAACATTTAAAAATATTTGTCAGTATTCCTAATTATAAGATATTTTATATTAAAACTATTTCCACTACTATCTCCTGACTGTATAAGAAAATCTTGATTATTTACCTATAATTTTATTTTTTGTTTCTATTCTTTTTTTTTAAAAAAATACATTATTGGTTTTAGAGAGGAAGGGAGAGGGAGGGAGAGACAGAAACATCAATGATGAGAGAGAATCATCAATCGGCTGCCTCCTGCACGTCCCACACTGGGGATCGAGCTTGCAACCCAGGCATGTGCCCTGACCGGGAATTGAACCATCGCTTAACCACTGAGCCATTCAGGCTGGGCTCTATTCTTTAATTAATTCACAGAGGAATTATACACAGTGAAATTTAATTCTCAAGAAGAAATCTGCCTGCTATGCAGCCAAATCAGTGGTAAGTTCAGTTTATCCTTCAGAGGCCAGATTTCTTAGGGAAATTAGTTTAAACATCACAGATAGGATGAATTCTGCTAAATCAAAGGCTAACTTAAATGACTAATTTTTAATATTAAGAGCCAAAAAAAATATGAGTTACAGGATTGCCTAGATAGAATATGTGGCTGTTTGGCTAGATGCTGTGTTTTGCTTTTAAGCTGTTACAGTTTACATCAGGTAAGAGTATAATTTGGAGCACTCTATCAGTTATAAAATAATATTTTATCAATTCTTCTTTTCTGGCTCAGTGTGGAGGGAAGAGTGGGTGGGTGTGAAGATGGTTGGTGTGTGGCATGGATTCTCTTCATCGCTGTGAAAATCCAAAAGTTCCTTATGTTTTAAGAATTTTGCCTTTATCACAGAGAATTCTTCAAATAGCCATGCTTATGATTATGAATATTTGATAGTACCTATGATTCTAAATGAATTTTTAATTCCACTTATCCTGTTTTCCATATTTAAAAAAATGACAATTTTAATTCATTCTCAAATCACTGCGGGGGATAAAAATTTTAAATGTCTTTTGAGAATGGCAGTTGTAATCATGCATGAACAGAGATGTGAATTTAATCCTAGCCTGTCATTCATTAGAATTTTCGGAGACTGCATTGTATATTTGGTGGTGGAGTTTTAACACCACTTGCAAAGTCTAGTAGAGAAGAAATAGTTGTGATTAAGCCAAGTACTAAAGGAGAAGCAATTGAAAGTATTCTATTCGTGATATGAAGCCTGTGAATGTAGAAAGCATATTTGTGGTTGATTTCAGGATAGACCTGAGAACTTAAATTCAAACACCCACCCATTCTCTTCTCTATCTACTCTTTATAGCCTGGAAAGACATTGACAAGTTTCTGACATTTTGCTAACAAATTATATACTCTTGTATTATATAAGCGCTCTAAAAATAGCATGTACTTATTCCAAGGGTTAAATATTTTGCTTCTCTTAATGGTAGGCTTTTGATTTTAACTCTGTTGTAAGCTAACAGGTTTTTCACAAGCCCTGTGTAGGTAAGGTCTCCCTGGTTGATTAACTGGGCAGTAATCTATTGCTTGGGATCATATTATTAGTACTTCAAACTTAAGTTTAATTTCAGAATCTAAGGGCTTCTGTGTGACCAGAGATGAAGAGAGTTTGACTTTATTTTGTTCAGAGTTTTTAAAGCTCTAATCTTTGGGACTTCTCATCTGTAGTCATTAGTGCAGAGCTCTTCTGGGAATTTTTACCCTCTTTGTTAATTCATAAGGTGGATAATGCACTTTTTACCACCCAGATGTATTTTTCTGACAAAATGGTCAATTTTTAGTACTTAAGGGCATGAAGACCTGTAAATTAATTTAAGTTAGGCTTCCTTACTTGGTATTGGTATTATTCTCTGTGAGAAATAACATTATTTCTTCATCTCTAAATTTAAGAGTTTTTGAGAAGAAAGTAACATTTCTGACAGAAAAAAAAACATGCTGAATATATGCTAACTCAAGATTATGTAAAAAAAAATTAAAGAAAAGGACCAGAAAATCACTATTAGGTACATTTCTAAGTTTTTAACTTCCAATTTCTTTTTTAAAAAGAAAAAAAATATTAAGTTTATTATTAACAAGGATCATACTAATAATCACTATTAATCACTATTACTATTTATGGATCACATATCAATAACTGAGCATTGCTGAAACCTCTAGCTCATGGTTCATCGTAGCACCACTTACAGGCCCAATGACCAAAGGGAACTGTACTTCCTACCTTAATTTCTCCATTCATAAAACAGGAATGAGAGTACCAGCAAAAACCGATGTTGACAATTGACTGTAACAAGCAAATAGAACACACTGGAAACAAGATAACGTCATAGTAAACTAAGAGATTCCTGTCACCTATCTTCACAGTGTCCCCCAATTTACTGAGAGACTGAGGTTATTTCAGAGTGTTCACCTATTCTGTAAACCTGCAAGCAAACAGACCCCCGTTTTGGTCTCTTTCACATATGGCAGGATTGGCTATTAGTATGCAGTCCAAAATGAAAGTGCAGGTGTCTTGTTCTAAAATTAGTAGGATTTCAGGATGTCATCAGCAGAGCAAGAAACCCAGCATGGGAACAGTGTGACTGCACAGGTCACAAGGCCACGGAGCTGGCCCTGGACAGTGGATTGAGTGTTAAATACCACTTGTCATGTTGGAGATCTTTTGTAGGCATAGAGGTGTGACTACTTGGTACCTGTGTTATGCTGGGTGGGGCAAAAGTAGTTTACAGTGGTTCATACGGAAAATAATACAATAATTAGTAAGTGATAATACAAGAATAAACTCTGTGTTTGGTGTACTCACTGCTGAAAACCTACTTTTGTCCCACCTTGTATATTACATGTATATTTGTTACCTCATATATTTATGTAAGTAATATAGCCATAACAGAACCCCCCTCCCACTGCCCTTACACGTGATCCATTCTGTGGCATGGCTCATGGTGTGGAGGTGCCTCACGTGTGTCAGGGCTGCCAACCTCCCCTCGCAGCTTACGCAGGTCTCTTCCTCAGTCTCTTTATTTGATGCCAGCTCTGGAATTCTTTGATGTTCCAGAAGCTTTCATCTTTACTATTGGCTCTTCTCTATCTTCTTATGGTTCTATTATATGCTTCACCAAAAGGTAGACAGACCCAATAATATAAGGCACAGACAGAAAATTTGGAAATAAATATAAATTATTAGGAGGAGATTCACCTTGCATGCCTAATGTATATTGCACCTGGACAGCATGAATATCTTCAGCCACATATTCCCTGGGTTATGTGATAGTACAGACTCCTGAGACTAATCCAAAGCATGACTGAGCAGAACGCAGGCGCCAACATTGTTTGATTCCCTACCCTGGGGTGGTACATGCATAAATGCTTCAGAAGATTCCATGGTAACAGAACATGCAGAAACAAACCCTATGACTGGTAGAACATTAGAGAATCATCTAAAATTTTATTTCTGACCAAACACCGTGCTGTTGCTGAACAGTAACAGTGATAAATGTATGTTTCATATGCACAGTACTTTTATGTGAACATGGATTATAAATACATGAAAAGTTCTGGGTTACTGGGTCAGATGCAAAATTATTCAGAAAGCCCCAAATCTGATCCAGTCTCTTTTCTAGAGAACTGCAGGACATATTCTTCTCATTAGAGTAGCTGAAAAGTATTGATTATTGAAATTAAATAGTATTGTCTTGCATAAACCCTCACAGAACTGTAGGGATCCGACTAGCAGGATTGGCCTTTACCACTTCAGAGCTATAGTGTTAAGGACTTGCCGTGTGCATGTGTGTCTATAAAATACATAGCAAAACGCAAGTCAAATCCAGCATCTCAGACTTCTTTTCCAACTGTCGACAGTTTACACGTAAAAGCGAAGAACTAGCAAAAGTCATAGAACTATAAATCTATCATTTTTCGAGTGTCCCTATTTAAATTCAATTCTCTCCCAATTATTTTATTCTTGTCAAAAATATGTTTAATATTTGAGGTATTGAGAAATTACCTTTGCCATCTGCATTACTTTGCAAACTTATGTCATGATTTTTGCTTTGGGAAAGTGTTATTTATAGGATCGCTTATAAAGAGACAATTAGAGGTGTGAAAAATAAGTGAGTGACTTTGACTACTGGACTTCTCTCCTAATAATTCTATATTTTCTTTAAAAATAAATGTCTCTAAGTCAGTCTCTGAGGGACTGAGGCTGTAGTGTTTCCTTTGCTGACATGTTGAGATGCTGTGAACCTCTCTCTATCACAATAATTGTGCAACAGTGTCCAACACAGTTAGTACATTAGAATAAGTGATCGCTAACAACAATAACAAAAACTGGCCTAATTAAAGTATAATTTAAATGCTTAACATATAGATGTTATTGTTGTTGTGTGTGTCTGTGTGTTTGTATTTGACAGCTAGTGCTCAGATCTAAGCAAAAATGTGGTTTCTTAAGATAGTTTGACTGTTATCTAACTTGGAATCTTAGGAACCCATAATTCATTGCTTAAGTCATTCTTAAATATTGAAAGGCTTTTCTCATCTGTTTCCCATCCCAAGAACAGTTGTTGAACTATAGAATATTGTGAAGTATAGGGCCAGACTAGTATAGTATTACCTAGGCCAGTGGTCGGCAAACTCATTAGTCAACAGCTAAATATCAACAGTACAACGATTGAAATTTCTTTTGAGAGCCAAATTTTTTAAACTTAAACGATATAGGTAGGTACATTGTTATTAACTTAATTAGGGTACTCCTAAGGCTTAGGAAGAGCCACACTCAAGGGGCCAAAGAGCCGCATATGGCTCGCGAGCCGCAGTTTGCCGACCACGGACCTAGGCTTATAAGTGATACTTAGAGCTAAACTGTAAGACATGCAGACCACTGAAGAAACAGCCTTTAAACAATTTAAAATTAAATACAAAAATTTGGAGGATATGAAACCATTTTTATGCTGAACATGAGGGAAAAAGGATATTTATCCAAATTTGTATATAATTGTTTTCTTCCTAAAGACCCATCTCTATCATAAAACCCAGTTTCTCTCATGAAAAGTCCATGACACAAGACTTCCTCTGCCTGAGGAGTCAGAGAGGATTTAAATTCTGACTTGTTCCAGAAGTTAGAATATTTAATATATTTTAATAAAATATATTAGACATTTTTTTTCAAAGTAAGTCAATAAAAAAAGTGTCCTAGGTGCATAGGTCAGACATTGTCTTTGTTGGAGAAAATGAAAGTGCAAGAAATGATTAAGTAGGATTCTGGATTCCTTATATCTAATTAATAAAGATCTCATATTGATAGTTTCAAGGTCTCTATAGACCAATATTAAATAAATACATTTTCATTAATATTAACTAGATGTACATATACTAAGTATATTAGGTATATATGCCATTTTATATATTTACATATAACATAGTTAAACTAAATTCTACCTCATAATTAGATATTACTGCCTAATATGCTTACATAATAATTAAATCATATAGTTATTAATATAAAATAACTTATTCACTACAATAATGATTATTGGGTCAAATTTCCCAATCAAGCAACATGAAATTCTGAAATCAATTCATCATCCATCTAAATTATTGAGGGATATCAATACTAAATGCAACTGATTAGAAATAACAACAAAACATGCCAATATTTTTAGTGCTGTTGATGCCATTAGCATAGTCATCTTATTTTTGGTAATTTTCCTCAGACCTATAGATATAATATCACCCAGCGTCAAAGCCACAGTTTGAAATGGTGTTTCGTTTATTAAACATGAACAACTCTCAGTGTTTTCTTTGTAGAATGTTTCCATTATTTTTATGAAAAATGGATAGTAGAGATCATAGTTGAAGGTGTCATGGTGATTTCACATCACCTGGAATTAAGTTGTTGGAGAGTGTGAAAGATAAGAAAAGGATGGGTTTATTGTCATATACTTGTACAGGTGACTGCCCATTATTCTAGATACGGATTTAATGTTGTTTCTTTATAACTTGATATTTCCTGAACCACATTTCTAAAAACTTGAAGATAATCCTCTCTGTCCAATATTGAAAAGCCCTACTCATCCACATTACAGCATTTTCTCAGTTTTGTAATATTGTCTGTAGCTATCATATCCCTTTGGTCTTTAATATGCATTAAAATTATTAAAAAATAAATAAAACAACAAAAGGCAACATCTCAAGAGGGCCTGATGACCTATGTCAGTGTGCTTCACTCATATGAATTCAGTGAATCGTGATGCCTTTTACTGGGATTTGAAATTTTACAGGAGTCATCAAGACCGCCCTTCCAAACATGGATAGAGAGGCTAAAGACCAGTATTTGCTTGTTATTCAGGCAAAGGATATGGTTGGTCAAAACGGAGGACTCTCAGGAACCACATCCGTCACCGTGACCCTCACTGATGTCAACGATAACCCACCTCGCTTTCCTCGCAGTAAGCAAGCTATTTTGTTAAGTGGCGCCAGGTGTGCGCACTTTCCTTGCCCATCTATAAAAATGTCTTTATAAATATTTTTTTCCAAATTCTTCTCAAATAATTTGCTATTACTATACTCTTCCACAATTTTGTTTTATCAGGGGCATGATTTTAATTCAAAAATATAGAATAAGGAGGATATTAAAAATAAATAAAAGCAATCATATATTTCTATTATTTCTCTCTAAAATACATGGTTCTTCTTCATTCACATTATGTGAATATTATGCTTTATTTTCTTTGTTTACATATTAACCTTTTTAAAAAATAAATGCATTTTTATTGATTTCAGAGAGGAAGGGAGAGGGAAAGAGAGATAGGAACATCAGTGATGAGAGAGAATCATTGATCGCTGCCTCCTAGACACCCCCCACTGAGGATCCAGCCTGCAGTCCGGGTGTGTACCCTGACTTGGGATTGAACCACGACTTCCTGGTCATACACTCAACCACTGAGCCACGCTGGCCGGGTATATTAACCATTTTATTCTAAGACATTTTTAAACATTCTGTAATTTACATGACCGTTGCAATGAGTAATATAAAATAATGCTTTTATATTATTAGAAAGACAAAGTAGGAGATTCCTGAGCTCTTTCATTTCTTATTCCCCTCCTTTTTTTAACCACTTCATGCACATTGAACAATCCTTTCTAGTTCTACCACATCTTTCTTGGGCGAACACTAAGTGTTCCAAAAAGAAATCAGTCTAAAGAACCAGAAAACCACAGGCCCTCAATTTTGTTTCTTTGAGCAAAATGGCTTTTGACTTAACCAAAAAAAAAAAAGATTAAAAAAATTCTGTATGTAGAGATGTTCTGATTATAAAAAAGCATTTTATCTTGCTCTCTTTCAGTTTCCTTTTCCCCCCTCTTTTGTTAAGTGTATGTGGTGCTTCTTTAGAATGTTCAAGGATGTAAGGAAATTTTACAGACTACAATGTCTCTAAAATGCTTGTTTGATAGAAATGGGGAACTAAGCTCCCTTACACAAAGACCTTAGGAGCGAATAATGGCAAGCGAAGAGGCTTTCTCTGCAGATATGAATGCCACTATGTTTTCTTTCAAATACTGCTTTAGATATCTCATTTTCATTTTATATATTTTTAATATTTATATTATACAGCCAACATTTTAATACATCCTGGCCAAAAAAACCCCACAAAAAAACAACCACCAAACAACAACCATAACATTTATATCCTAAGTTTTTCTTTTTAAAAAATGAACCTATCCTTAAACCTATCCCCTTGATGGCTTATAAAGGGGGAGGTGAGGATTGTAGGATTAAAACTATACAAACAATAATGTTATTATATTGGGCTCAGAATAAATTTAACTGTTTCTCTTTAAGCCTACAGAGGTAAAAAGTGATGCTTATAATTTTTGTGGTTTCAGTCCTCAAGATTTGATAAGATAGAGCACAGATTTTCTAGCTCATTGGATCTTCTAGTTATAAAAGTGAAGGAAGCCAAGGTTGTGTCATTAGATTTTTCAGTTTTTGCTGGGATTTTTCTCTATCATTTGGTTACTATCCTAACTTTAAAATTTTTGGATTTTATTAAGGAAAATTCTGGAGATATGTAAAGAGTCACTCAAAAATGATAAGCATATATTGTAATCATTTCTTTAAAAATCAGTAACTTATTCACAAAATTTAGAAAATTGCAAACAGCAACAGCTCGCGGCCTAAAATGTGTTTCCTATAGATACATTTTTTCTTTACATAGTCCTCTCAGAGAGAAACCTTCTGTATAAGAAAGTGAATATGCACCACATTTGGCGACCTGAAGGAAATGGATTAGGGGGAGGAAGCGGGAAACAGTAGGTGATCAGCGCAAACAGTGAAGGAGCATCTGTTCTGAGGACTTTCATAGCTTTGGAGGGTTCGTCCACACATTTCATCTGTTCCCCTAACTTTTTAATTTCTCGTTTTTTTTGAGTTGAGGGATATTGAAGAAGAATTTTAGTAAGAGAATTTTTTTAAGACAAATTATCTTTTCATTTTTGCTTCTCTTTCCTCCTGTTCCTATGATACTGCCTCTGCTCTGGTATCATTGTACCCCCGTCAGCCCTGCATACAACCCACAGAATTACTTCTCATCCTTGGTAAATTTATGAGCTAAAACAAGACTAGTACTGTTTTTCATAAACTTTCTTGTCCAGTTTTCTGAAACTTTGTTAGTAAAAGAAGTTATTATGTAAATTCCAACATTAAGTAATCAGAACTGTTGAGGCTTGTATTTGCCAATGTTAAGCCTAAGCTATACTATTTTTATTTTTAAATACTTATATTAGTTATAGCTGAGTTGTTTACATTCAATGATTGTATATGAATTAACTGTATAGTTATTTTAAATGTATTTTGGTACTTAAAGTAGCATAGTTCCTACCACTAGAAATACAGGAATGGAGATTCTTTTCTTGCCTCTTCTCAGGCCATATGTTTCTGCTGACACATACTCATTATTATCTAATCATCCTCCTGAAATATCTTGAGACTAAATGAAACTAGTCTCATATTGCCTAGTGTCTTCATTACTAAAAAAGAACACACAAATTAAGCAAAGATGATGCACAATAGCCAACTAGTTACTTGTTTCCCCTCTGTTAGCTTGGTGTAAGGTCTGGCTCATTTTTGTTTGACTTTTCGCAGGATCTTACCAATATAATGTCCCTGAGTCATTGCCAGTGGCCTCTGTTGTGGCCAGGATTAAAGCTGCTGATGCAGATATAGGGACTAATGCTGAAATGGAATACAAAATTGTGGATGGTGATGGATTGGGGATTTTCAAGATTTCTGTTGACAAAGATACACAGGAAGGAATCATTACCATACAGAAGGTAACATTTTATTTATTTGTATTTTCTATATGGCAGCTTCACAGAGATTACTGAGAAGCCATGTCTACTTTGAAGGAAAAATGTATTAGACAAACTGAATGGCCACATGGAACCATCATTGTGTGTGTGTGTGTGTGTGTGTGTGTGTGCGTGTGTGTTGTTGTTTTAATTTTAGGAAGAGAGGATGTGAATTTATTTGTAGGTGTCATAATCTTGGGGCCTACTGATGACATGTGTAATCATACTCCATCAATTCTATTCTCTGAGTGAACTGCGCCCTATCCATAGCTCTATGACAATAGGCACACTAGCCAATGTTTTACTCATTTTAAGTGACCTATTTGGAGAGATGACTGTGCCTCTTCATTGATTATTTCAGTAATGAAACCTTAATATTAACTGAAAGCCTTTGCAAGCAAACCAGATAAGCACTCCACATATTGAAAATAATATAGATAAACTTGGAAACAGAAAGCAAAATGTTGCCCTAACCCGTTTGGCTCAGTGGATAGAGTGTCAGCCTGCGGACTGAAGGGTTCCAGGTTCGATTCTGGTCAAGGGCATGTACCTTGGTTGCGGGCACATCCCCAGTAGGAGGTGTGCAGGAGGCAGCTGATCGATGCTTCTCTCTCATCGATGTTTCTAACTCTTTATCCCGCTCCTTTCCTCTCTGTAAAAAATCAATAAAATATATTTTAAAAAAAGCAAAATGTTGAAAGCTTGCTACATTATCAATTTTTTAATTTGTATTAATTGAAATGCTTGAAAAATTTATTCAAACAGAGCAAGGTAAGTTGTGAAGCCCATAATGCCTTCCATCTGAGTGCAAAGCAAATCATTATCATCCAAACTGAAGGCTGTCTGTGGGTGTTTTTAAGTAGCTCCTGACACTGATTAGATATGGGGAAAATGAGCTGCTTAATCCCTCAGCTCTGTTTAGACATGATCTTTAATAAATGTTAAATTTTAAAAAGTGTCAAAAGGAATTATTGCTTATCTCAAATATTGGAAACACTAAAAATTGAAATATAAATGAAAATCCCCACTCTGAAGAGGCTGGGATTTTATGTCAGTCTGACAGTCCAGGTGTAAAGCTCTGTAATTAACTCTTCTAGATAATTAACACATATCAAAAAAGAAAGTTATATTTCAGTTGTTATAGGAAAACATATGTTTGATTTTGGGCCAATGGGCAAAACATTTCTGTAGTTATTTCCAGTGGACAGCTGCTGTTGTAGCTCAGCTGGTGAATGTCTATGTAAAAAGTTAAAATAAATAGGATTGGCCAACTGTTGGTAAAATATTTTGTTTTGTTGTCTAAAATAAAAGGAATGCAGCAAGGTACACTGCTGTTCAAAGATTTCAAAGATTCATTCGAACTCAATTTACTTATATTCAAGAATGTTTAACTATTTTTGTGACATGGCATTATAGATGCATCTAGTTTTTAGGTGAGAAACTATTAATCCAATCTCATTTTCAGGAATTATTTTATCAATTTGTTCAAAATGTAATTAATATTTTATATGTAGCTAGTAGACTTCATACTGTCATAAGGTCTTTTATTAATCTGATGCTTGTTCTCTTTACAAACCTTAAATAGGGCTTATACTTTAATTCAGTGGTTTTCAACCTTGGCTGCACATTAGAATCACCTGGGAATCTTTTTAAAATCCTGACTTCTGGGCCTCATCCTCTGGAAATTCTGTTTCTTTGTTACTAATGTTGTGGCCACACCCCATAACAAAGAAACAGAATTTCCGGAGGATGAGGCCCAGAAATCAGGATTTTAAAAAGATTCCCAGGTGATTCTAATGTGAAGCCAAGGTTGAGAACCACTGCTTTAATTTATCACGTAAGCATCCAAAAACTGTTGGATCCCTTGAATTATTTAAACTGGTATTTGCCAAGTATATATCCCACTGTTCCCCAGTTCCATTTGAAGAGCCAGAGTAGGCACTAAGCCTCTTTTCATTCCTAGAAGCAAGATGGATTTTCTAGCTCTTCGAACACTCCACCTCCTGTGAGAGTCTCCTATGCTCTGCCCCCGTGCCCTCTTTCACTCACTTTTAAATCTGGAAAAGTGTTCCTGTTGTTCTGTCTTTAAACCAAATAGGTAAACTGGGGAAGTAAAATTGTCTGTACGAACTATTTTTCCTGTTCAAGGAAGAGTGTATTTTGTGTGTGTGTTTCCCTTCAATGATGGACACTTGGTCTAATACAAATGCAATGAAGTTGTCTCAATTCCACAGACACTGTGGCTTTTGCATAGACTTAGCTGTGGCCACGAGGATGTGGGTAAATAACCAAGGCTGTGTAAGAGTGTCCAGGAGAGCTCAGATCCCATCTGCCAGTCAACTGGTCAGTCCCACCTAGTCTGAATTTGCACATGGCCTGAGGAAGGAGTTGAACAGTGGATGGATAACAGTGTTCCCCATGTAGACGGGGAAAGGCAGATTTTCCAAAGAGGTGCCACCTGTGCAGATTCACCATATGCGATGACTTGTGAAGTTCAGAGTTAGAACTGTGAGAACTAGTAAAATGGGGAAGGGATATTGGCATCAGACAAGGTGATGTAAGTGGAGGGGCTCCTTCACACCTTTATTTCTCCTTCCCAGGGTCACAGTTAGTGAATAGGAACTAACTGTATAATAAATTGCAAATAGGAATGGATTATAAGTTAATATTAAAAGGCATTTTAGGTACGCTATAATAAAATACACAACAGAATAGAAAATTGTATTTTCTAATTTCTCTTAATCCTTTATTATTGAAACTGTCTGTGATAATTCTAATTCATTTCAAGCATTTCAATTCCTTTCAAAGGACTATATTATAATATCAATATTTATTGAACATGTCATTTTTCTGGTTTTAGTCCAATAGCACACCTTTTTTCGTTATTATTACATGTAAAGTATTGGAGTCATTTCTAGATTCTTGTCTTGCCTTTTCTTGATCCATATAGCAATTGGCTGTTTTTTTTTCTGTTTTCTTCAACATTATCCTAAGGTTGGTTATCACTGCTTCACTCCAAAACTATTATTTTACTAGCTCTGAGCTCACAACCTGTGTCTAGCTCTAGCCTCTCAATTCTTAAAAATCTGTGCTTAAAAAAAATGTCTGTTCAAAACACAACACCATTTTATTTTTATCATCTTAACTAGTTTGAAAAGAATCTACCTTATGCCAAGGAAATAAAGGAGAGTCATAGAGCAAATTGAAAGGAAACAGTAAAATGATCACTAATGGGGTTACATAACAGAAATTCTAAAAGTATTTATTAAAGATCAATAGCTTCATAATAGCTCATGAGAAGAGTTGTTATGTTTCTGCCCTTCGGTCCACCATAGGGTGTCAACCCACTAGGAGTTGTGGATGGAGTAGCCATCCCCCTTGTCTACATTTCTGAAATCCACCCTTTAAAGGCCCTGGAGTTCCACTGCCCATGTAGATAAAGCCATTTCTATTGGAATTGGGGTATTTTATATCTGTGAACCTTCCTTGATAATCATCCAAACTTATTCTTTCTCTGCAGTATAATAAAACCTGAGTCCATTGCTTTTTCATAAACAATGTACCGTCATGGTTACAATGAGCTTTATTCCACTTTGAGAAAACTATTATATTTTGAAACACATACACACACATATGCCATTCATGACATAGGGTGAACTTAGGAGCAGGGAGAGAAGAATATAAAAGCAGTCTTTTAGAAAGATATGATAGAAAAAGAAGTACAGAATTGTAAAATATTACCTTCGGTTATGTTATTGTTCCAATACTCTTACACAGATAGTTTTTATTCATATGACTAAATATGCAGGATTTACAGGCTGAAAATTGGTATCGATGTTCTATTTTTTCTGTAATTTAATTACTTTTTCTATACATTAAGAATAAACTTGATTATATAGTTTAAAGTGATGACAAAACTACAGTTTTAGAAAGTTAAAACAATGTACAAACTTTTTTATGGCCATTTATGAATGATTGGATTATAACCAGCAACATAAGGCTTCAAAATTCACCAAGTGTAAACATAAATATTATCCCATGTGCATGAAAACTGTCTTTCCACCTGGAATTCTTTTTACATTTCCATACCACAGTTTTGAATTTAGGAGCTTTGTGGTCTTTTATTTTTCCTTTCAGATATGGCATTTCTTCCTCTATGGCACCTCCGTTTTCAATCTAAGACCTCAATTGGGGTTAAATATGGAATATGGAATTTTGCTTCTATAAACTACATTACCATAGAGTTACAGTGCAGTAAAAAAAGAGCATTTTCAAAATGCATTTTCTTAAAGCATAAGTACACATGCATCTGGATCCGTGGATGGCTTTTATGGTGGCTCACATGTTTTTAAGCTTCTTTAGACCAATTGTGCTGTACTATCTTCATAATTTCATTATATCCATACCCTAACAAAGGTTAAATGAAGTCAGAACCATCAAATAATAGAGCATTGTTGGGAGGTATTGATAATACAGTTGGCCTCCATTCACTGTCCGGGAAGAAGAGTTAGAATATGCAAGGTCCTGTCAACTTTCAACTCAGCCACACGGATTTCTGAGCTCTGGGGTTAACGACCTTGTTACTGAAATGTGTCCTTTCTCTATGACTTGCAGGAATGAGGGACTAATTCCCAGAGTCAAGCATGTGTTTCAGTATTTCATAAAATGCTGCTGATGTGCAGTAGAGGGAAATCAAGCCAACAACATTTCCAATAGATTTTTCTTCTTCTCATTATGTGTTTCATTCATTAATCCTGCTACTGTGGATGCACATTTCTCAAAATGGAGCAAAGATAATTCTTCTATTTGATGGAAAAGGCATAAGTTTTGGTTTGTTTTAGTTTTAAAGGTTGGATGTGATATGATTAATAGAGTAACTCTCATTTGGTGAACTTCTGAATTTCAGATTATATTTTCCAATGTTTTAAACTTATTTTTTCTGTGTGATATATAAGTAGATCCTAACATTTTAATCATTATGC